TGAGCCTCCAGGTTGTGCTTGAATATTACGATGAAATTGAAGCTGAGGCGTGCACTTTCCTGCTTCATCTCGTGGAGAGGGAGGAGAATTAAGCCAAATTGAAATTTGGATTTCATAAAACACGTGCACTGGTTGCATTTTCCAAAGGGTAACCTGTTGGTCTTGGAAGGTTAGGGCCAAATTGTTGTTTTAGTCCTTCCAAGTTCGGAGATATTTCATTTTTTTGCTTGAAGTCATTTTTCTATGTGATTTGGTCCCTAACTTTATATTTTTCTTTTTCAGTTCATTTTAGTACCAATTTAATCCATCAATTTTAATTTATTTCAATTTAGTTATTCATTTTTTCCTGTTTATTTTTAGCATTTTTTATTTTAGTTATTCATTTTTCCCTTTTAATTTTAGTGTATTTTTTTATTTATTTTTTTCTTATTTTTATTTTATTACCTTTAAAATCTAACATTTTTTATTTTTTAGGGATATTTTCAATCGATCAAATGTAATTATTCGAATTGAATTTTTAAATTTAAATTTTTAATTTTCGCGATTAAGACAATAGACAAATTAATTGGTACCGAAAGTGCGGTTCAAGGGTGTTAATCCTTCCTTGACCGTAACTAACTTCTGAACCCGACACATTTCTGGTAAGACGCAGATCAAGTAAGATGGTGTCCGATCAACCTAAATATTTTTTTTAAATGATCGGTGGCGACTCTAACCCAATTATTCAAGTCGAAGCCCAATTCCGGGCTCAACCGAAAAACGACCGCGACAGCTTGGCGACTTCGCTGGGGACAGGTAAGTGAGTCAGGCCGAAATTAATTTCTGGTTGTCTTTTTGAGCGAAAATTATAAGTTTAAATTTTAATTTATTTATTCGATTCTAATTATTTACCTTTGATTATTTTTCAAATAAATAGTTGTGCTAACGTTTTTTCAATGATTTCAGATTTTTGAAAAAGTTTTTCATCTCAGGCTCTATACCCGAGCTCCGAACCTTTCTAAGTGGGGTGAAAGCAACACTTTCGTGAGAATTTATTCTCCGTATGGGCATAGCAAGTAACCTTCGAGATTCATATACCTTATGTCTTCTTGTGAATTTATTCTCCGTATGGGCATAAGGAAATGTATCCTCTCGAGTTTAAATGTATCCTCTAGAGTTTAACTTAGTCCATATAAGTTTGTAATGGGCTTAGGACTAAGGGTCTGGCAAGCCCAAGGGGCACTAGCAAGGAGAACTCGGGTACCATTTTTTAGAACCTAAACCGGGAGACTATGGAGAATTAGAGCCCACCCCAAAACCTCATTTCAAACCCTAGGATGCTTTGATATTATTTCATGCTTTATTTCATGTTCAAAGCATGTGAACTAGAAATTTAAGCGGTTAGGACTTGTTTAAAGCCAACTTACGGGATAGAGATCATGTCCGGGTAGGAATAATAAACATGTTGGGTAGATATCATGTGGGGTAGGACTTTTATTTTCATTATTATTTTGATTATTATTCTTACCTCACTAACTCTTTTTATTTTTGTTCTCTTTCATTTTATTTTCATCTTTTGCATCATTCATTCAAAAGAGGTGTTGATCCACCAAAAACGTGTTCGTTAAACGTAAATAATTTGCATTAATGGACAAAGGAATTATAATACAAAGAGATGAAGGGCTCAAAAGTTCAGTTATGGTCAGAGAATACTCAGGATAGACCGAGATTTATGCCGAGCACACAAAATGTCAACTATTTGAACCGGAAAAGGTTGCAGGGGAAGACGAGAAAAAGGGTATTGACCTGGAGAGTCCCTTCAAAGACAATAGGCCATTGTTGACGTATTCAAGAAACAAGTAGATTAACTTAGATAATTCCCATCGATGAAGAGACCAAATGCGCTTTCGTTAGGAGTAGGCTCAGCAGAGAGTGAAAGCCGGAGATGTAGTATTCTAGACTTTTTGGAGCAAGCATCTCATCACTTGCACAGTTTAGCCAGAGAAGCCGGAACGGTTTGACAGGGTATTCAACCGGTGACATACGGAGCAGAAGGCGAGTTAACATGTTAAAAGTTGTTTGAGGTCTAGAGGACTTAATGGTTTTTTGTCTTTTAAGAAATAACACTTTTGTCCCCAATAAGAATTATATATAATAACAGACACATTTTTGGGTTAACGCCTCAAACATTTAATGCATCATGCATTTAGATAGATATCATTATTTTTATTTCTTTGCATTCGCTTTAACTAACAAGAGATGTCTTATAAAAAAGGATGAAAGTAAGGAAACTCCCGAAGCAGAAATTTGTGCTTCTGAGGGTACATCAAAATGAGCCCCGACAGGCGAAATAATTGAAAGATGGGGAACAAGTACAGATGAAGGCCCTAATCCTCGACACTCTAGAAATAGTGGGGCATCCTAATGAGAATTTATTCCATTTTGCAGCATACTGTTTGGACTTGTTTTTTTGAACTGTCTTATATTTCTTTTTGTAACTTGCTTTTATTTCTTTTTATGAGGATGTTTCAATGAATTTATGTTGAGCATTGAATCAAATTTACAACTTGAAATTCTTTGAATATCTACTGAATTAAGAAACTCTGTAAATGATTCGGAGTTACAGATCTTTGACAAAGTAACATTATTTAAAAGTGATAAAACAAGGACTTTGACCTTACCCAAGAAGATACGCTCAAACACCGTACCCTTCTCTCACAAATAACTTAAATAGCTTTCTCCTCTTATAAGGGAAGAAAAAAAAGGCTTTGTATTTAGATGTGCATAGGTGCGGACAACATGGGGCATCTTTTGCATATGACATTACTACACTTTTTGTTTAAGACGTTCAATGATGATCATGATCTTTATAGATGGAATAGTCGAGTAGGTGAATCTAGTCTAGGTAAGTTGCTTGGAAATTAAATTCTAAAGATGAAATTTTTTACTTTCAACAAAACACCTAGACTATAACAGGTTCTTCTTGACAATCTTAAGAAATTAAATCCGTAAAAACTGAGCTATTCCACTAAGGTAATTGGTTATAGAGGAAACTCAAAAGTCCTGGCTTTATGAATAGATTGCATTCAAACCATGACATTATTCGGACGTTTGGCAATTCGGTGTTTGCTCCACCGCTATTGTCAGACCGAAGACTCTATGATGAGATGAACCCTTCAGTTAAACCTGATAAAAGTGATTATAATATTAAGTTGTCACTCTAACGCAATTGGTTGAACGTCCCGACTTTATGGATTCGGCCAGCCAGACAATGACAAATTAAATCAAATTTATCTAAATAATAATTTTTCGGTAATGATAGACTAAGGGAGTTAAGGAACACCTGTTATAGTCAATTTCACACGAGCACTTAGGAATTTCATTTTTAGACCGATTGGAAGAGCCTACAAAGCTTGAAAAATAGAAGATTTCAGAGGACCGAAATAGAATGTCTAGTTATTGATTATAATAGTTGCTTCATTTTGTCCGCATCCGATTAAAATGTCAAGAGAAGAAAAAGACATGTTGCAATGACCGAAAAAAAACATTTTTTATGGCTGAAACCTTAGAAAATAGGAGGCCAACCTAAAGCCAACTCATCCATTTGAATATATGTCAAAGAGCTATAACTCTGAAAGCATTAAAAGAGCTATTGATTCCTTTAATATACTTTGAAATCATTTTTATGATTTGATTCGATTGCCAGCCTGAATTAAGGGACAATGTTTTACAGAATTCTTACATTTTTTCTTCCCTCCTAAGATAAGAGAAAGGAGAAAAACATTTTCAAATAGGACAGTCTCAAATGTGAAGAGTCTTGGAAGCTGTTGAGGCTCATTTTGCCTCTATTGAAGAAAGAACGAACAATGCTCTTGAAAACAATCAGTTCGAGAGACCAAATAGAACTTGTGACATCGTCAACGACCTGATAAGAAAATAGGGGCATGGTCGATTCCAAGGACAAGACCAACAGACAAAAAAGAGGCTCCATCCAAGAGATAAGACAGAATTAATTCATGTTGCATGCATCATAGGCTTACTTAAGAGTATCACATTTATCATTTTTAGAATACATAATTTTTTTCAGCTTTTAGAGTCAAGTTTCAACTTTAATACAAAAGATACTCGATTCAAAAGCACATTCAGAAGTTGATGGTGGTTGCTCAACTTCACAACGTAGGAGCGTTTGTCAACAAACAACTTTCTAGTTTCATTCAGAGTCAATTTCAAATTCATTGCGAAGGATATTGAACTCGAAACAACACAAGATTGGATTTCAACTTCACAACGAATGATATCCAATTCAAAGCTCAACTTCACAGTGGAGGAGCGTCTGTCAACAAATAACTTTCCAGTTTCATTCATAGTCAATTTCAACTTCACAACGAAGGATATTGGACTTGAAACAACACAAGATTGGATTTCAACTTCACAACGAAGGATATCCAATTCAAGTCTCAACTTCACAACAAATGAGCCATCAACGATTTCAAATTCACGAAGAAGGATATCGTGCCCACAACCAACTTACTCAAGATTAGATTTCAACTTCACGACGAAGGACATCCAATTCAAGGCTCAAATTTACAATGAAAGAGCCATCCACGATTTCAACTTCACGACGAAGGATATCGTTCCCACAACCAACTTACTCAAGATTGGATTTCAACTTCACGACGAAGGATATCCAATTCAAGGCTCAACTTCACAACGAATGAGTAATCCACGATTTTAACTTCACGACGAATGATATCGTGCCCACAACCAACTTACTCAAGATTGAATTTAAACTTCACGACGAATGATATCCAATTCAAGGCTCAACTTCACAACAAAGGAGCCGTCCACGATTTCAACTTCACGACGAAGGATATCGTGCCCACAAGCAACTTACTTAAGATTGGATTTCAACTTCACGAAGAAGGATATCTAATTCAAGGCTCAACTTCACAACGAATGAGCCGTCTACGATTTCAACTTCACGACGAAGGATATCGTACCCAAAATATTGGCCCAACTTTATGACGAATAAGTCATCTACCACTACAACACTGAAGTCTTTAGGTAAAGTTCCAGGCTTCACAACGAAGTATCTTGAGCTAGAAGACAATCCAGGAGCTAGTTCCCAATACTTTGAGCTCAACTCAACTTCACATCGAGGGTTATCGCGCTTAAAAGGTCCACGATTTCAACTTCACGGCGAAGGATATTATGTTGAGAATTTTACAGTTCACCTTAACTTCACAACAAATGAGTCATCCACGATTTCAACTTCACGAAGAAGGATATCGTGCCCAATGGATCGACTAGTGTCACAACAAACACTATCAAGTCTCCAACCAAAAGAACTGGACAAAAACTTGTTGTCTTTTTTTATCATTGCCCTATTCTTGTTACAAAAAATGTGCAAAGAGGGACAACTGTAGACACCCGATTTTATTCGGGTCTACAAAAAAATTATTTAATTATTATTATTATTATTTTATTTTTTATTTTTGTAGGCCTCATATTCAACCAACTAAACTACTAAACACTTAACTACCAACCACACCAACTACCTAGCACGTCTCTCCTCAAAAATGAAAGTGAGAGTCTTTATCAGAGGAGGGATGCCTATTTATTCAAATCAACTTTTGACTTTTGAGGGGGGGGCGGGGGCGGAGGCGGAGAGAGCAATAAAAAAGCAAAAAAAACGGAAGAGGTAGAGTAACACGTGTTGGTAAGAGCTTCCATGTCTAGTGCATGCATCCAAATTCGTGGCATTTCTATGTTTTCGCCACATAATAGTGGTGCCATACCCAAGCCAAGGCCACATCAACCCTCTTCTCCAATTCGCCAAGCATATAGCATCTAAAGGTGTGAAGGCAACACTAGCCACCACGCGTTACACCGTCGGTTCCATATGTGCACCGCAAATCGGTGTCGAGACTATATCCGATGGGTTCGAAGAAGGCGGCTATTCGCAAGCTAGAAACATCGAGTTTTACCTTAAGTCGTTCAGGGAACAAGGATCTCGAACCCTGATTCAGCTCATCCACAAGTTTAAACACGCCCCACGGTACTTTTGGTATGATCATTCCTGCTGTGGGCTCTTGATCGACGCCAAGAAAACCGTTGACCTTAAACCAGATTGGTCCAAAGGTTGCAGCAGACTGGACGCAGCTCACCTCGGTTTGCACCAATACCAAGAAGCTATTTCGGCTTACAAGAAGGGCCTGAAGATCGATCCTACTAATGAAGTATTTAAAACCGGCGTTGCTAATGAGATCAACCAGCAGCCAAGTTGCACTGTTCTTGTCGTCGACGAGGCTCATATGTACGAGCTTTCAGGCCTATCGCCGGATGCAACGAAGAACACCTTGAACCTCCAGGTTGTGCTTGAATATTACGATGAAATTGAAGCTGAGGCGTCCACTTTCCTGCTTCATCTCGTGGAGAAGGAGGAGAATTAAGCCAAATTGAAAATTGGTTTTCATAAAACACGTGCACTGGTTGCATTTTCCAAAGGGTAACCTGTTGGTCTTGGAAGGTTAGGGCCAAATTGTTGTTTTAGTCCTTCCAGGTTTGGAGATATTTCATTTGTTTGCTTGAAGTCATTTCTCATTATGATTTGGTCCCTAACTTTATATTTTTTTTCTTTTTCAGTTCATTTTTAGTTCCAATTTAATCCATCAATTTTAATTTATTTCAATTTAGTTATTCATTTTTTCCTGTTTAATTTTAACATTTTTTATTTTAGTTATTCATTTTTTCCCTTTTAATTTTAGTGTATTTTTTATTTATTTGTTTTTTATTTTTTTATTTTATTACCTTTAAAATCTAACATTTTTTACTTTTTAGGGATATTTTCAATCGATCAAATGTAATTATTCGAATTGATTTTTAAATTTTTTATTTAAATTTTTAATTTTTGCGATTAAGACAACTGACAAATTAATTGGTACCGAAAGGGTGGTTCAAGGGTGTTAATCATTCCTTGACCGTAATCGACTCCCGAACCCGACACATTTCTGGTAAGACACAGATCAGGTAAGATGGTGTCCGATCAACTTAAATATTTTTTTAAATGATTGATGGCGACTCTAACCCAATTATTCAAGTCAAAGCTTAATTCCGGGCTCAACCGAAAGACGGTTGTGATAGTGGCACAAAATTAATTAAATTAGAGTATAGAGGACTCAATGTTCTCACTTAATAGTCCTTTATATAGTCAAGGTGATGTACCTAGATTCATTAAGATATAATGTGATTTCACGTGAAATGTATACCATCTAGATAAGAATTGGATGTATGCCTTAAGAGTAAACTTTTTTAGTAGTATGAGATGATTAAAATGTAGTATATATCTAGATTTTTCTTAAACTATTAACAATGAACATAACTCTACAAACTTAGTACTCAAACCAGAGTCTTCTAAAGAAAACAACAATTATTTTTATCACTAGAGTTATTAATAAAATCGTATTTTATAAAACAAAATACAACTTAAATTTAAGTAATTCAAAAATTATTAAATTTGAGTCTAAGTAAATTAAGAAAACTCATTGAATTTTTTTTATTGATAATGAAATATCTCCATTCAAGTTCACCAAAAAATAATTACGTTGGAAGTGAGTATTAAAATCATTTGATTTTTATATCAAATACTCCACTATATTTAAGCTTACAAAAGTAAATGAATAATTTTGATTTAATTCACATAATTGTTGTTATGATATTTAAAACAACGTAAACTTGAATTTACGCTTTCTATTATTTAATTTTTAAATAATTTAGGATTACTGGTAAATGTTCAAATTTAAATTTTTTAAAAAGAATTATGTTTTCTTTACTACCGAGAACATTTAATGGAATTTCTATTATTTAAAACTTTGGAGTATAAATAATTTATAGGCATTATTTTAAAATAATAATATATACACAGAGTGGATACATTTTTAAAAATTTATAGGCATTTTTTATTCTCCATGCCTGTTTTTTCTTTTAGCATATCTTATCAATATCTATTTTTGGCGCACCATGGCAATAAATTAAAAAAAGAAAGAAAGAAAAGATAATCTTATTTTTCAGAGTTTGGACTGTTACATTCATAACTTCCGACTAACGCTGGCCCAGAAATTATAATGTATTAGTTATATCCATTAGTAAATGCTTCTGAAAATATTGTTCCAACATCAAAGCTTTTTTTTTCTTTATGTATTTGGATCTCTCTCTCGGTTCCTCAGGTTTCATGTTGATTAATTCGAATCCACCTACGTCGCACACTTAGTTTTGGTGGGTGAACCTCACAGCGGAGATTTTCTATATACACAAAGACTCGAACTTGAAACATGCTCAAACGATATTAAGCTGCTTACTACTTGAACTCTGACATTAAGTGATTTATTTTAAAGGCTTAATGTAAAAATAAGTGCCCAAACTATACCTAAAGTAAACTTTAGGTGCCTAAAAATTTTTCGTTAAAAATAGGTATCTAACATTTTCTCCCTTACACTTTTAGGTGCCTAGCATTTTTGACGTTATATTTTTAGGTGTATGGATTGTAACAGTCGTTAAAAAACAATGTTATCTAACACATGTCATGCATATAAAATTTTATTTTAAAAGATACTTAAAATTAAAATTTATTTATATTTTCTAATATTTAAAAAAACTCAAAATCACGAAAAACATTAATTTCAATCTCTTACCACCGTCGACCGCCACCAACGTCGCCAATCAACCAAAACTCCGACGACATACGACTGCCTGAACCCCCATGCTTCTCGTAGTGATTACAATGGAAAATCAGCGATTGCAGCATTGAGAACCCCTTTCAATTGATCGCGAAATCTTGTATTTACACAATCGTTGGGTGTTCCGTCAGTTGCGAAAATAAAGGGTTTCGGCCGTTAGGTGGTTGTCTGGTAGAACAACGTTGGGTGTTCAGCCAATTGACGGCGTTGATGGTGGTGCTAAGGGATTAAAATTAGAGCTTTAAGAGATTTTGAGTATTTTTTTGGTAATTTTATAAAATTTTGGGTTTTTTTAAACAAACTATAATTTTAAGTTTTTAATTTAAATAAAAAAATTAAAATTTTCTAAATGTTACATGGTTTCACTTAACATACGAATTTAACGTCGTTATAGTCCAGACACCTAAAAGTGTAATGTTGGAAACATTAGGCACCTATTTTTAATAGAAAATTCTTTAGAAGCCTAAAGTTAACTGTGGGTATATTTTGTACACTTATTTTTGCATTAAGCCTACTTTAAAATTAAGTTTGACTGACTAAAATTTGTTAGAAACGAGTGAGTAATTTAGAAAATTCATTGGATACTTGAAGATAGAGGTGAACAAAACTAAACTCGACTGGAAATGTTAAATTTTTAATAATTAATGGATTGATTTTCAAGTTTTAGTCGAGTCTCTTGGCTCTATATGATATATGTAAATCACATATGAAAAAGTATGAAGAAATATATATGTATTCTATATGATTATAAAAAATCATTTAAATTTTTATCAAATAATATCATAATATTATAAATATTTACAATTAAATTTAAACAAAAAACTCAAAAATTTGCTCGACTCAGAAAAATTCCAAGTATTCTTCGAAACCTCGAATAACTAAAAAATTTGACTCGACTCGATCAAACACTCACCCGTAGAAGAGACTATTTCACGGTTGTTCATTATGGCTATCTCACTCAATAAGAGCTCGACATGAAATCGAATGATTAAAGGGGTCGCTCTAATATTATTTGTTACGAAAACATTAACCTTTTCTCAAAAGACATTTGATAAAATTTACAACACTATCAATTTTGTACTTCAAGATCTCCATTTTCCTTTCCAATGTGGGATTAATGCTCTCACCCCTTTCTAGGTGTGACAATATGCATATTATACATTGATTAAAAGTTATTAATTTAAACATAAAAATGAAATATGAAAACTTGTAGGTGTACTATTAGAGGTTTTTAGCGAGACACAAGTTATATCTAAGTGTTATTAATAAATTATTTATGCTGAGAAAAAGAAAATATAAAATTTACTTGGTATGTAAATTTTTGTGTAGGGAGATTTCTTGAAAGAAGAACTAGTTTAATTGATCTTTGGCAACATCTAAAATGTGACCATGCGGAAAAGTATATGCATTCTAATGTATCGACGATACCTGAAGGACCGGTTGCAAAACCTTACCAATTGGAGCAAATCTCATAATTTCAATAGCTGAAAATGATATCAATCTTAAGTAGAGTATCAATATTTAAGTCAAGTTATCAATATCTCAAATGAAATTATCTGTAGACACCTGTTTTCGCTCGGGACTCTTGTCGATTTCATTAATATTAACTATCTAATTATTAATATTTTTACTATTATTTTTATTTTCATATATTTATACTTTTTTTTTATTTTTTTATTTTCTGTAGGTCATTACAATGGGCCCAATCGGGCCATAAAAATTAAAACTGCCCCCAAAGTTACAATTAACAAGCCCAACCCAATGGCCCAACAGAATCTAACCCTAGCTCTGTCGTTGTCGCCTTGCACCACCAACCCCGTGCCACCTTCATTTCCACTAACCAGCAGCCAGCAACCCTACGTTCGGTCATTGTCACCTCACCAACCCCCTGTCACCGGGTTCCAACTCAGCCAACAGATCCCAAGCACAAGCAAACATCAAATCAATAGTTGTTTTTTTATGATTGTTTCATAAATGTAAGGGTATTATAAAAAACCAAAAAACAACAGTGTAAGGATCCCCTTTATTTTTGAAAGGAATACAAAAAAATATTTCAGAGCAACAATCTTTTTTATTTCGAAGTACAATATATTTTTTAGCAATAACAAAGTAAAAAAGAAAAGAAAAGGATAAGAAATGTTACATTCTGCCAGAGGCTTTGCCATTGTTTGGAGCCTCCATCGTCAGATCGAACGATGAGGAGGAGCGTACTAGGGAGGATAGCAACATACCTCGAGATCAGCCCGATCCAACGACGGACGAAGGAGATCGGGTGATGGGAGTCGAAGGATTTCGACTCTATTTCATGCCATTGGGGGCTGTTTTTCATAAAACCAAGCCCATATCTGAGATGAAGAAGTCGAGGCGAGTCTCATGGTGAAATTTGGTGGCCAACAGCCACCAGCGACGGCTGCGGCGCGACGACGGGCGACGAGGGCCAAACAATCGGCAAGGAGATTGGGTTTTAGAGATAAGCGAGAGCTTCTCTCTCTAGAAAAAAATGACAAAAAGGAAAAGTTGTATTTATAGAAAGCTTTAAGGGGAAATTGCACTCATGTCCCTCTAACTTGCGCGTGTTTTTTGTAAAATGATCATTTGTAAGGACCGAACCTGTTATTTACCCATTTTATGCATGTTATATATTTTTAGGGTTATTTTCTTTTTAGTCCCTCTATGTTTAGAATGTTTTTACTTTTTGTTCATATGTAGTGATTGTT